TGTTGCTGCTGCGGTTACGTTTTCTTACTCTTAGTGCTCCCTTGTGCCATTGTTCCAGCAGATGCTGCAGGTGCCGCTGACCTGCACAGTACGAGTACTTGTAGATTTATGCAGTGCGTGTCTACAGCTGTATTTGAATGTGTGCGTAGTGCACAGTTGTAGTTGTGCCCTAGGCCCTGTGCCTGTGATACGTGATTTGTAGTGCGTGTTAGCTTACACGTGGGAATGCTACGCACTTTCATGTGACCTGTTTTACTTCCTTCTCACTGTACTTCCTTTTATGCATGTGTCGCTGGCATATGCGACACGGGCCGGCCGGGCCGGAGTGTTTATTGGTTTTGGAAGCATGTGCCTTTTTTTGTCCTGTGAGTTGTTCGCATGCGCATGTTGCTGGCCGCGTGGTAATATTTTTGTTTTCTTGTTGTGTTGGACGAGAGCTCTACATTCTACAAATAATTAGTTTGTAGCTGTCGTGATTTTCCTATGTTCCATGGATCTGAAGAATTGTGTTCTCCGGAGTGGAGTAGAACTGAACTGTGATTCGATTGTGTGCGGAAACCCGGTGTTGACGAAAGTGTGTTGACCTGGGCGTTGAGGAAAAGTAACAGCTGCTACTGCTGTTCTTGGTATTGTTCTTGTTTTTGTTGACAGTTCTTGTTCTTGTTCTTGTGTTTGTTATATCTAGTTTCTACCTGCACCCATCACGGCTAAATCATTCGTTGACCAACTCAGTTTGGACGGTGGTCATCAATGATTTTGCTATCAAGTTTGTGGTGATGGCGCTGAAGTGCTGCGTTGCCATGCTTCACACGGCCATCATTCCCTATCGCCGCAAGGTACGGCTCAACACCCTAGAAGATATTAAATAAATAAATAGTTGTTAGCCATGCTGCACCTCCCCTGAACAGGTACAAGTACCCCTGAACGGGTGCAAGTACCCCTGAACAGGTACAAGTACCCCTGAACGGGTACAATTACCCCTGAGCAGGTACAAGCACCCCTGAGCAGGTACAAGTACCCCTGGCTAGTATTGCCATTGGCATCGTGCAAAGTTGTCTCACAATGAAGTCTCATTGCACCATGCTTTTTGGTGTGTGTCCATCTTGAGATATGGGCAAGACCGGTATTGGTGTGAGTCCATCTTGAGATATGGGCTAGACTGGCATCGGTGTGTTTCAATAGATGACTTGCACAAAGATTGTCTGGGTTCGAGACGGGGCAAGTGGACCTTCTGACTCTGCATTTCCCCACCTTTTGAGTTCGTGACTTTCGAAGTTTCGCTTTTTGCCTGACGAACACTGAGCTAGTTTTTTTGGCTAGAGAGTAGAGTTGTTTTGATTCGACTTGTATCGGTCATGCCGAAGCGCTGCTGCGCTCCTGAATGAACTAGCAGACGAGAGATGGAACTGAGGCTCCCATTCCATACGTTCCTTTCCGAGCCGGCCGGGCGGGAGGCAGAAAAATGAGGGAATATTATTAATTTTTAGTATCATTGGTGTAGGCTGCAACAAGCACGTCGTGGTCCTGAAGTGTGACTACTTTCCCGCAGTAGAAGCGAAGTGAAGCACAACGAAAGTTTGTGGACGTCTGAGAAAGAACTCGACTCCCTTTCAATCGGCTGCACTAGCTCCAGAGCGACCCTCTCCTGAGGACAGACTGCGGAGAGGCCAGGAACCTGCCGAGTGACGAGTGGAAGCCTAAACCATGAAAATGAAGGGTGGAAGGACTGAGTATGAGAGCCAGATGGCCTTTAGTAGTACTTCAAGTAGTATCTGAGTTGAAGGAGAGAACAAGTGTGCTGGAGAAACGCTGCGAAGTCCTCAGGCCTGATGTGTACTAGCTACTGTTGAAGTCTCACTTGTTCCGATATGAGCATTTCATCAGCCCTTACTCTGAGCAGCTGTATCTAGACTTGGATCTAGGCCAGAGACATAGCATTGTTAACCTTACTGAAGCCATATGTATCCGATGCCTGGCTCTAGTGAGAAAGCAGTTTGGCGCAGGCTCGCAAACTATGATTGAATCAGGGAGTGGTGGAAAGTCACATTATACCTCTTCATGATTAGCTGGTAATGACGACGATGCGGCTGCGGCTGGGTCTCATGGGAAAGTAACTTGCATACCTGTTTAGTTGCAACGAGGCAACGGTACCCCATGTACTAAAGACATGATTGAACTACATTTCATCTCCTGGGAGAATGTGGAACAAATAATGCCAGAGTGTGTCTGATACACATCACAGTCTGCTGAGTATGTTCATTATTGTGGACGTAACATAACTGCGCTGTGAGGTACCTTCTGCGTTGGACCTACAGTTGAGCCACTAATCTTCTTACAAATTCCGCACAACGGTGAAAGGATTTGTTGGAGCATCATTAAACAGTGCATTCGCCTTCATCATACATTGGCTCCGTTGCCTACAGTAATTCACATCTTGACGGGGCGCGCTGGGACGATACGGAAGGAGCGGCGGGAACCATTGGAGTGCTCATGATGCTGGTTAGCGGAGACGGATGTGAGTGTCAGGAACGGGAACGCAACCGCACTACTGTACAGATCAGGAAGCGATGGAAGAGTTGAATCTGTTCAGCCTTCCATGCCGTGTACAGGGACACAAGCGTAAAAATGGCTACATTTCGAATGTGAACTGGCGATGGCATTGTGTGGCGACGAACACAACTGCAACTGTTCAAATTTCAGCATTTCGAACATTATGCTTCCCACCGAATGGCTCACATGACGGAGTTGGACATTACCAGGCTAGGATTATCATTTGCTGTATTTATGGATAGTCCTTGAGTTTTCAGATGAAGTGCTTTATCTTTTACCTGTCGTTCCTTTAGTGTGGCACAATGTCCATGGCTGCTTTCTTGTCTTCATAACAGACTGGTATAATCAGCATGATTCTGCTTTATTAGGGAAGAAATAAAAATTTCCTTTCGGAAAGGAAGCCCAGAAACGTCAACCCCCATGGACTTTGCTTTATGACTCTCGTCCATCGACGTTAACCGTCGCAATAACTGCTGCATGTATGTTGTGCTGTGCGAACCGTACAAGATTTTAACAGCTCACCCACGCCTTCCCAACAGGCTCCTATATCCCGTACCGATAGCGTTACATTGAATATGAACAAGGCTAGCACAGTTATCCTTCGTTCTTTTGATGGTGGCGGGTAGCATGGAACTTGACGTGTTCTTGGGATCCTCGTGCAACACTTCCTGTTCCCGGATGCCATATTATTGGGTGCATCGAGGTTGCTTCTATGCTCACTGTTGTTTAGTAAGACATTTTTTTATAACTATTTCACCGAAGAATATGGCAAGAGTATTTTGGGTTGGTTTGAACGCCTGGCTTCTCTTCACATAATATACAGTCATGTACTTCCACTAACCCTACAAGTGCACATGACTCATGAGCTGCTGAAGACAGTGACGGTGCACGGCATGTACATGGACATCATGTACATGCCGTGCACCGTTCATTCATGCTGACGAAAAAAGGACAGTACAGTCGTACAGACGGTGTAGGGTGCCCGCAGTGTAGCCTGGGTGCACAGGGTGCACTTGCCCCGTCTCACTCGCGGCTCGGATCTTTGTGCAAGTCATCTATTAGAGATGCTCTGCTGCACCTGCACTCTGCTTTATAGGCCTTACCCAAATTTCCCTTTCAAGGCATCATTGGTGTGTGTGGGGGGAGGGGGTACTTGCACAAGCACACTGTGTAGGTTTTCCTTCACAGATATGGTGCACTGCTGCCCGATGTGTGTGTGTGTGTGTGTGTGTGTGTGTGTGTGTGTGTGTGTGTGTGTGTCTGCGTGTACGTGTGGATGGGTACATTTGTGTGTGTGTGTGTGTGTGCGTGTGTGTGTGCGTGTGCACTCTCTCACCTTCCTGGACACAGGGCAAGTACTACCTGCTGTTGGAGAACTTATCACACTCGTACCGCACTCTCATACCGATACCCGTGTGGGTGTGTTACTTTGCCGACCGGCACACGACCGGCCTTGCCTTCTGCATCGTCAGCATCATCGCCTACGTCATCATTAAGGTGAGAGCGTGTCTGATGCTGCTGCTGCTACTGCTACTGGTGCTGTTGCTGGTGCTGTTGCTCGCCACAAAGTTTTTATTACAACCAGCAAAATGTGAAAACAATGGACAAAGAACTCAACGCATTCAAATGTAACCAGGGCTTGTTGTTATGACAGTGAGTACTACTGCCAATGCAAACGTATGATAAGAGTTACTGCTGATCAGTCCTCAGCCTGCTGCTGCTGCTGCTGCTGCTGCTGCTGCTGCTGCTGCTGCTGCTGTGATACTATTCGTTCAAATGATATTGGTCTGTCTGGGCACTGGGCACTGATGGCTGCAGCGTGACGTTTTCTGGTGTTCTTTGCTCATGTTTAGCGCAGTGATTCAGTTGCTTGTGCTCTGTTCATTCTTTTGAAACTTAACTCGTCAACTCCGTTAACGATCTCTTTACTCTGCTAATTCACGCAAGAGGCACAGCGGAGGTTTACAGAGTTCGTTGCAAATCACAGTTTCTTGCACAATGCAATAATGACAGAAGTTGTTCCTTTTGTGTGTAATAGTGCACTGCTCCACGCTATTGTGGTGAGCCCTCTCTGCTGACGAAAGAAAGCTTTCCTCCTTGTGCTCTGCTCATTCTGTAGAATACAGTGTGATATATTCATCTCCTTGTCTGTCTGTCTCTCTCTCTCTCTCCATCTCTCTCTCTCTCTCTCTCTCTCTCTCTCTCTCTCTCTCTCTCTCTTTCTCTCTCTCTCTTTCTCTCTCTCTCTCTCTCTCTCTCCATCTCTCTCTCTCTCTCTCTCTCTCTCTCTCTCTCTCTCTCTCTCTCTCTCTCTCTCTCTCTCTCTCTCTCTCTCCTGTTTCTGCTGTCTCTCTGGCATGCAGTGTTTGGCACTGATGCGCAAAGCCAGGCGGTTACATGATGCCAGCAAAGTGTTCTTCAAAGATCGGGTAAGATTTGCTCCTGGGTCCTGGAACCCTGGCACGGGAGGTATGTTCCTGGGTCCTAGAATCCTGGCACGGGCGGTATGTTCCTGGGTCCTAGAACCCTGGCACGGGCGGTATGTTCCTGGGTCCTGGAACCCTGGCACGGGCGGTACGTTCCTGGGTCCTAGAACCCTGGCACGGGCTGTATGTCTTCATATGCTGCTGACCTTGCTTATTTACTAGTGTTGAAACGAATATTCGAATAATTTAGAATATTCGTGGGGTGAACGAATAATCGAATAGTCGTAGGAATTATCAGAAATCGAAAAAAAAAAAAAAAAAAGGTCTATGCTCAGTGCTGACCCTGCTGATATTTGCACGGCGTAGATCTGCTCGTAGTATTTCTTCTCACTCTCCTCTCCTCCAAGTTTTAATCTCCTATCGGTATCTAGTATTAATACTTCTGTTCTTTCCATACGAGGGAAACATGGATGCAGTCAATGAGATTTTCGGTCTTTGACCACTTTCGACCAAGACCCTATGCAGAGCTGGATCAGGCGTTGCACACTCTGATCTGGGGGGTTATGTACTCTTGGCGGTGTAGGTTAACCGGTTTTGCACCTCCACATAACAAAATCCGATATTAATCAGCAAAAAAATTAAAAAAACTACTTAGGGGTCGTCCGCAATTATCGAAAGTTTTTTCCAATCCGTAGTAGCTTCAAATTTTTCCTCACCCACCCACCCACCCCCCCAGTCCGTAATAAAATATTATTGATGGACACACAACCCAACACATACATATACATGTAGGGAACAAACTCAATCAGTGCTGGTCCATGAGTCATAGTGACATTATGTCAGAGTCACCAGCGGTTTTGAAAAAGGGCTGCTTCTTCACCGCCTTTCCAAACAACGTCGCCTGTCTGGACATAGTCAATAACAGTCGTCAGCGCCAGCGCTAGACGGAAGGACTTCAAAGGAGTGCATGGAAGACGGTACTCTGGACGAAGGAGACAGTGAAACTCAAAAATAGAAAGTGTCGACTCGCCGTCAAATGCGCCGAACTAACTTTATGATCACCGGCCCAGGAGCAGCCAAGGAAGCGCGCGCGGGGGCGCAGAAACTGCCAGAACTACAAAAATATTTGTAGTAGACAGTTCGCGCGCAGCCGCGCGTGGAAAACAGGGGCTACACGTAGACGTACACGTGGCACGCGCACGTGTCATTTCGGAAGTTTTTCAATCCGTAACTGGCCTTGACCCACCCACCCACTTTCGAAGCTACTACGGATTGGAAAAAACTTTCGATAATTGCGGACGACCCCTTAAAAAGTGCTGAAAAAGTGTTGAAAAATGCCATCATGCTTATGATAGAATATAGATTATTCTTTCGATGGAGGGCGAAATTATTCGATAGATTATTCGTTCGAAGAATCCGTGTTCGGTTTAAACACTATATTATTTACTCCCAACGAACATACTTTAAAATTCTTCCTCCGGAAACAATCACTTTTGTGACTCTTTTTTTTATCCACATTTTTGAAATTATGAAGACCAGTGATACTTTTTAATCCCATAGTGTATGGCAGAGTATGTTGTATCCAGCGTTTCTCTGTACATGGAATGACATGTCAGCAAGCAGCGAAAGTGCTCTTTTTTTTCGCTGAGTCTCGTGAAATGCTTCCGTTGCGACAAATTGCTGCTATCAGGTTGACTTCCTTTGTTTGCACGAAGTGAGCCTAGACCTTGTACTCGGCTTTTCAGGAATAGAAACTGTGTGTGTGTGCGTGTGTGTGTGTTTCTGTGTGTGTATTTGATGCTGTAGCGTTATGGATGCCGTCCGTCGGGTGATGCACTGGCGCAAGCTGGAAGCTCTTGTCCCATCTGCCAAGAAGATCTGAAGGAGCCTACGATGCTGCCTTGTCGCGTGAGTTGCATGCACGCGCGCGCGCGCGCGCGTGTGTGTGTGTGTGTGTGTGTGAATCCCCCGCTAAAAGTAGGCCGGCCAGAAAAAAGCCACTTCGAATAGCTGTGTGTTGTTGACCAGGCTGAATAGTGGCGGTCAGTTCTTCAGCCTTGCAAGCTGTTGAATGGTGCAATCCCAGCACAAGTTGCTATGGCTTCTGCTGTAGCATGGCGCTCATCGCCTCCGGCGATGGGCGTCAAAGGTCATAGGTGTGTGTGTGTGTGTGTGTGTGTGTGTGTGTGTGTGTGTGTGTGTGTGTGTGTATGTATGCCGGAGTATGTGGTGTGGTGTGTGTGTTGAAAAAAAGAATGAAAAAAATGGAAAAATGAAAAATAGGGATTCACTGGCCAGAAAAAGTCACTTCAATCAGCTGTGTGGTGGATACCAGGCTAAAATTAGAGGCGGTCAATTCATCAGCCTTGCAAGCTGTGGAATGGTGTAATCCCTGCACAAGTTGCTATGTCTAACATAGCTGTTCGCTATCATCGCTACCGCGATGGGCATGTCTGAGTCTGAGTGTGTGTGTGTGTGTGTGTGTGTGTGTGTGTGTGTGTGTGTGTGTGTGTGTGTGTGTGTGTGTGTGTGTACGACTGAAATCGTGTCACGTCACCCATGAAGACACCTGGCAGCCTATCAAGTCGGCGATTGTAGATGCTGCCGAAGCTTCCATCCCTGCACGGAAATCTCGACGTCAGCCTGACTGGTTTGCAGACAGCGCAACAATCCTTGAACCCAAGCTGCAACATCGAAACCGTGCCTATGCCCAGTGGCTTCAGTCTGCTGATCCCGCTGACCTTTCAGCTTTCCGCAAGGCCCGTAGTGCAGCGCGTACTGCAGTTCGAACGGCAAAGCGTGTCTGGTTGCAGAGAAAGGCGGATATGGCACAGTCTGGCAAGTTCAGTGGGGAGCGCGTCTGGTCAGCCATCCGGGACATCCAGCGCTGCTACAATGGTATGAAACCTGTGGCCTCTCATTCCATTCGCAAATCTGATGGAACCCTGTGTGTGTCAGCGGAGGAAGAGCGTGTTTGCTGGCAGCAACATTTCACCCGTGTTCTCAATGTCATTAGTGTGTTCGATGTCTCTGTCTTCCAGCAGTTGTCCTGCCGGGAAGTTGACGACAGCCTGGCATGCCCTCCAACGGCTGTGGATATTGAGTGCGCTCTCCATCATCTGGCCAACGGCAAGTCGGCTGGTTCGTCTCTCATCGTTGCGGAGCTGTTGAAGCACGGCTTTACTGTTCTTCGGCCACACCTGGATGCACTCTTCTCCACACGCTGGTCAGCGTCATCTGTGCCTCAGGAGTGGAAAGATGCTGTGCTCGTCCCTATTCCAAAAAAAGGTGACTTGAGCAAGTGTGACAACTGGAGGGGAATAGCCTTATTGGACGTCGTCGGGAAGCTTCTCGCACGTGTTATTCAGGACCGGCTGCAACCTCTTGCTGAGGCACATCTCCCTGAAAGCCAATGTGGTTTTCGGCGCGGGCGATCCTGCACAGATGCCATCTTTTGCGTGCGACAGGTAGTCGAGAAGGCATTCGAGCACCGCTGTAAGGCCTTTCTCGTTTTCATCGATCTCCGCAAGGCGTACGACTCGGTACCGCGCGCTGCACTGTTGCTGGCCCTTGAGGTGTATGGTGTGCCTGGGTCACTCATCCAGCTGATTGACGGCTTCCATTCAGGCATGCAGGCTGCTGTTCGGGTTGATGGTGATGTGTCTGGGAACATCTCGGTTGAGAATGGTTTGCGGCAAGGGTGCGTTATGGCCCCACTGTTGTTTAATCTGTACTTTGGTCTTGTGCTGGAAGCATGGCGTTCAGCTATAGCAGCAGCTGGTGTTAATGGTGTGTCCCTGATATCTTCAATCCATGGAAGTGGCAATCTATTTCCCAAGCGAACCCGTCAAACTGGCACGACATCGGTCAACGACCTGGAGTTTGCAGATGATGCAGCACTACTTGCACCATCCCGTGAGTCAGCTCAACTGGCTTTGGAGCTGTTCAGCAACGTTGCTTCTTCCTTCGGCTTGACTCTGAGTACAGCGAAGACCAAGTTCATGGCCGTTGGTGCAAATTTATCATGTGCTGACCGCCTTCCGCTCTTTGTTGGTCCGGAGGAGATCGAAAGTGTCAAATCCTTTGTGTATCTTGGCTCTGTGATAACTGCTGACACCCGCTCATCTGCAGATGTGGCCAGAAGACTCGGTAAGGCAGCGGCAGCTTTCGACCTTATGCGCCGTGTCTTTCTTGACCGAAACCTTTCCATCGCCACCAAGCGCCATCTTTACGATGTTTGCGTTCTGTCCACATTGCTCTATGCCTGTGAGTGCTGGACTCCGCTGAAGAGAGACATGGTTGCCATCAACAACTTCCACCACCGCTCCCTCAGGTTCATTCTGGGTGTATCCCGGCTCGATCAACAGCTGCAGCATGTCAACAACCAGGAGCTGCGAAGACGCTGGGGTGATATGGCACTGCCATCTGATACCGTCAGACACCGCCGTCTGCAGTGGCTTGGGCATGTCGCCAGAATGCCAGATAACCGGCTTCCGAAGCTGATACTGTTTAGCTTCTTCTCAGATCCACGCCCAGCCTGTGGGCCACGACTGCGATGGAAAGACCTCGTCGCACGTGATCTTCGTTTCGGTGGCATAGTGAATTGGCTCACTTTGGCTCAGGATCGCCCAGCATGGCGCGAGGCAATTGCAAAGACTCCGGATGATCTCGTGGAGTGTAACAACAACAAAGTCACCTGCAAGGTTTGCAACCGATCATTCACTGCTCGTGGGATTCACCGTCACAAGTGCTCAGCTGTACGGTCCTTACCTGTTGCCCAGCAGCCTGGGGCCCGTCACTGTGGAGTTTGTGACCGCTGGTTTCAAAGCGCTGGCGGTTTTGCAGTTCATCGTTGTGTGGAGCGTCAGACATCGGACGAAATACCAGCTGTTTCAACGAGATGCAGCCTGAATTTGGACTGCTGCCAGCACCATTGCTCGATCTGTGATCGCTGCATGAAGAGTCAGGCTGGTTTTAACCGCCATAATTGTACTCGAGGCAAACGACTGCGAAAGGACCAGAGGACTAATCTGCCCATTCAATGCAGCATATGTAACGAACGATTCTCCCGCCCGCAGGACCTCACCCGCCACCGAAGACAGAAACACTAGCTATGTGTAGAACGGTCCCCTTTCACCTCGATTATACTCCTTGTTTCTTTTCTTTTTTCTCGCTGTTGTCTCCCGCTTCTGGGAGCGACGTGGCCATTTTGTGGCAGTTGTACATAGTAGTAGTAGTGTGTGTCAATGGTACATGGTGCACTGTACTAACCTAATATATAATGCATGCATGCCCGGAGCTAGTTCCGGAGGGTTGGTACGGCCCCAAGCCGCCCACAGGCACAGGGCCAATCATTACACCATGCCCAGTTCCAGTATCACAGGAGAATTCACCTCTAGCTCCATACATCATGTCTCGGTTTGAGCTACACTGTCGGCTGGCAACCGACATCTGGGTAGCATAGTCTCTTAGTCTATCTGTATGGGTGGGTTCCGCATGCCCAAATAAAGCACGACATTTTTCACACGCATTAATTTTGTGGATTTACTGTAAATCAGCATATTTTGGCCGATCTCGAAATGAAACTTTTGGCCGTCATTTACATGTAACTTTGGCCGATTGGGGTTTTCAAAAAGCCATCATTCAGTAGTTGTTGCTTTCACATGCAGCTATGGCTCTTCCATCATTTGCCTCTATGACAAACTTTGGCCTGGGATTTACTTTGGCCGGTTGGCACCAAGCGGTGAAATCAGCGAATATAGTGAATTGTGTCACTGGTATTCATGCTCTTGTCGCGGCGCGTGTGTTCGTGTTTCTTGCAGCACATCTTCTGTGATGATTGTGTGTCCATGTGGTTTGACCGGGAGCGCACCTGTCCGCTTTGCCGAGCGCTGGTTGCTGACGATCCTCAGTGGAGAGATGGCGCTACGTCGATTTCTGTACATATCTTCTGAGAGCCGTTTATGCCGATCACGTCCATGAGACCCATTTTGAGCCAGTATTCACCTTTCATTGCCTTTTTATTGACATTTAACCAGATTCCGTGACAGCGTTGTGATATGCCAGATTGTGTGCTGTGGTGTCTTGATGGCCCTGAGCAGCAGTAACACTTAGTGGACATGCCTCATGTGTGTGTGTGTCTCTGTGTTTGTAGCCACGGCAAGAGCGGCGCCGCAACATCAGTGTGCATGCTTCCCTAGGCTAGCAGCTTTTCTTTGTTTGTCTTGTAAAGAAATACTTACAGTACATGGCCATGGACCAACATTGATCCCAATACGGCTGGGGAAAAGAAACGAAGACAGGACGCGTACTCTTCCGAAAATCTAAATATTGTTTGTGTCGACACTGGCCTCTGTTGCCTGCTGAATTTCACCGACTGGTTTCACAGTTTCATTCATGTAGAAGCCAATGTCAAGGCTAGGCTTATATTGTATAGCAGGACATTTTCGGTATTCCGCGAGGTCGAATGCAGTGAGTAGTAGGTATGTTACTACTCCCTGAAAGGAAGTTTTTTCTTCCTTTTGTATTTGTGGTACGAAGTTTTTTCTTGGCTTTTGGCTTTTCGATTGGTTGATTCTTGAGCTTTCTCCAGTCATCTCCCCGGCCCCGCTATTTTCCCTCAGGACCAAAGTCAGAAATTGATAAAAAAAAATGGTGATTCTGCCTGCCGACAGAATGCACGGAATGACTGCGCGCAGGTGTAAATCACTCTCAGCTTCTATCTCGTACCGTGGCGTACACGTGACCTACCCAAATCGACGGCACGGCACTCATGGTACCGTAGTGGGAATCGGCCCTAAGCCAGGTGTGTACACCAGGGAGTCGTGTAGACCTTAGGCCCTCATCAATGACCGTTACTCAGGTATAGCAGTATTGAAGTTAGAACTCATCAGCAAAGAGAGAGAGAGACAGAGCAACTCAGCAATGTTAGTATTGAATGAGCGAGTGGTAAAAAAATACCACTCCCTGATCAACAAAGGGCGCAGACGCGCAGTGGACTGGACTCGAGCTTAGGCGACGAGCTCCCGACGAATCTCCGGCGTGATGCCCGGGTGAGAGTGCTTCTGGAGCAGCTGATACAGCAGAGACTTCTGCTCGTCGCTGATGTCCTTCTTGTAGCGCGCTACGAACGTGAGCAGTGCCTGGTGCCACAGGACGGGCAGTTCGCGCCTGTCGTGCTCAAACCTACGCACAAACACACACACGTACACGCCAGCATGAATGCACAAGAGAACAGATGATTAGACGCAGGTCACGCCTAGGGATGAGAGCCGGAGTACTTACATATCCTATCCAGAGTACAACAATGTCATGCTAGCACTCAAAACACCCCTCCCCCCCCCCCCCAAGACATCTGAGATGTGGCCACCGTCAAGGTCCATGCAGAGGTAAGCATCGTGCAGCACCTTCAGAACAGCCTGGGTGACGCAAAATGGTACGTACAATACCGTATGTGATTGTATACCGTATTTTTCCGGTTGTAAGTCGACCTTTTACGACTTAAAATAGAAGGAGAAAGGGTGGGGGTCGACTTACAACCGGGATTCGACTTATAACCGGGAACTATCAGTATCTTACAAAACAAGACCTGCACTGCATGTACGAGTGCACCATGTTTACACATTTTTGCCAGTTTATTGGCCTTTTTCAAGGATTGGGACGTTATATCCTCCAATAAGGAATGTTTACATGATTTGTTGAGGTGTTAGTAGCAGGAGGTGGTTAGTAGTGCTTCTTTGGGTGAAAACTTTAAAACGCAGAATTGAGACCTCCAGATAGGGGGGTCGACTAATAACCGGGGTCGACTTACAACCGGTAAAATACGGTATGTACTATAATTATGGCATGCACGCACGCATGCACATGAAGACCACACAACTCCTGCAATATACGCAGCGTGTGTGTGCATGTGTGTGTGTGTGAATGTTCGACACCCACGCAGGCATTACAAATTCGCACCGGCACACATACGTGTGAGGTGGCGACAAGTGCCGACCATGCCCGGATGCCTGAAAACATATGCAAGACGGGCACTGCTACACCATCAGAACTCTATAACACATACATGCCAACCTGGAGGCTTGAGCTCCCTGGACAACGAGGTTTCAATTTCAAAAGTTCCATCTCAATCCCTGGACTTTCGCAGGACCTCCCTGGACCCAGGGACAAACACCCTATTCCCTGGACTGTCCCGGGAAACCCTGGACGGTTGGCATGTATGATAACACAAAGACCACTTACCGCATAAAGTGCTGCACAAGGCCATCGACGACGACATACGGCAGGGCGTACTTCTTGTCCAGGAGGATGCGCAGGAAGATGCTGCAGGCACCGGAGTAGGGCAACTCGGCGATCTTGAGCATTGCGGCGCTGGATTGTAGGATTGGTATGGAGGCCGAAGCGACAACGCTGCCGATGATCAATGCCTCCCGCAATGAGCACGTCCCGCTCTGCACACAGACACGGAGATTGCACCCAACCACCGCAACATTCACATACACAGGAATATGATCGCACAAAGTCAGTCAACATCATGCCCGACGGCTGAGGCATACGGGGCAGGGGAGAGATAGATAGATAAATAGATAGAGAGAGGCACACACACACACACACACGCGCACACACACACACACACACACACACAGTCACGCGTGGATAGAAAAGCTGCACATACCCAGGTACGATCTGAGGAGAAACTTTACAACTGTCCAAAGTTCACCAGCATGCACTAGAACACTAAGTTCACCAGCATGCACTAGAACACTAAGTTCACCAGCATGCACTAGACCACTAAGGCAACAGTCAACTCTACATACCTCACAGAGAGGCAAAACGATTCCTTTGAAGAATGCTGCTGACTTGAATGTTGCTTTCTTCACGGCCATGTACAGGTGGAAGTTGAGTCTGCGATACTCAGCGATGTCGTCACGAAGACGCGGGTACAGAATCAGGCTGTAGAATTCTTTAGCTTGTGCCGCGGAGAGGTTGGAGGAGAAGATGCGAGTGGCCTGGTACATGGCGGCTGCCGACCATGAGTCCGGGTTTGTGATGAACAGAAGCTGAATGATAATGACACAAGCATGATTCGGCGACGAGCACCACACACACGGGCACACACACGGAGCATTTTTCATGGCTTCAATACAGCAGGAATACTTTTTTTTCATCATGTACTATACATTGCATGTCAGTGAGAAGGAAAAACAACTTGGTGACATGCATGGCATTGTGATATCGGGAAGCGTCTGTAAGGTGGTGGTGATATGAAGGTGAACAATTCAAGATCCTCACTGTAGAAAGCCCCGCAGCTCAAATTAACAAACTGGGCACTTTCATGGAGATACGACACGCCTGCATGTGTGTCTACAGTGCTGCACAAGGATACACAGATTACTCGAGTAAGCGGTGGAGAGCACCCGCCAATGCTGACTGGCACATGTGTGTGTGCTACTGTCGTGGACATGGAAATCCAGTCGTAGGTCAAGCGGCCCCTGGACGCCGGCCATGCAGCCGTGAGTGTACACACGGTACACACATGCAATGTTCTGTAGTTCTGTACGCAGTGAGGGCGCAGGCCCCCGTCATTCGACCGGATTTCCATGTCCACAACAGTACAATAGCTCCAATCATGGCTAATGCCACTACTCGATCGCCACGTTTTAAAGCATCCAGCAGTACTGTAGGTCTGTACCCAATGAATCCAGTTTCTCCATTTCCCCGAACACCACTGTACCCGTATGTTCCCGTGGTTACTGACCTCTTCCCAATTCTCCATACTCGGCACCATCTTGAACGCCTTGGGCAGGCTGCCGCTGCGGTATTTCGCCAGGATCTCGCCTACGGTTCCAAAGAGCTGCTCCATCTCCGGTGACACACCAGCCACAGGCTGTGTTCGGGATGCCTCCGTCATCACCTCCGACCTCATGGTGGCAATCTCTGTTTTCTTTTCCTCCAGCTTGCTGCTGATAATGTCCGCCAGCGTTCTCCTGGCCTCGGGCTGAGGGTTTAAAAACTGAGAGAAGGCTCGCTCCTCCGCTTCACTGACAGGCACATGGTCATAGAATTCGTCCTTGGCGGACAGCAGGAACTCTGCCTCATTCTCTGATTCATCCTCATCACTCTTGTCACCACCCAGTGAAAGAGATGGGGCTTTGGCCCCAGCAGCAGCAGCAGCAGCTCCTCTCCCACCTTTGCTCTTTTTCTGCGACTTCTTCGGCGCACGGCCAAACTCAGCTTCCAGTTCGTCCTGCTGCTTTCGTGCCTCACTCAAGATGCGTGCTGTTTGCTCAGCGCTGACAAATTCCTCGTCATCATCGCGACGCGATCGCTCTTTCTCCTTCCGCTTGCTGGGACGAACGCTGGCGTCGTAGACGATCTGCTCATGCAGAGCTCTGTGCCGTCTGACTTTGTCCTTGCCCATTGCTACGATCACTAGTAAATACAAGAAAAACCCAGGCGATCTGTTTCCTTGCTGCCAAGGCAAAGCACAATATCCAACTCTACGAGAGCTTGCACAATTTTTTTGTCAAAATCGACTGTTGTTTGATTTTTGCAATGATGTTTTTTCGCCTACGCGTAGACCTACGTAACGACTGGTACATGGTGGTTACGTCGTTCGTTCTCATCTGACTCCATATTCACCATGGCAACTGACCTTTGCAAAACCTTTTTTCAAGGATCAGGACAAGGATCCTTGACTTGCGCTTGTAGTTTTGCTGCATGCGCGCAGCTTGATCCATGATCGGTCCAGCTTTGCTAGACATGCAGCGCAGGCGCTAGGCGCTCGCGCTAGCGCTAGGCACGTGCTCCGATCAGAATCTTATGTTGCGTAACAATCCACGACTTGTGTAATCCAAGAGCGAGTGTCCCAGAAAACCGTCAGAAAACCGTCAGAAATCCGTCATTCCTTGACCTAAACCTAAGTGTTTCCTTATAAATACTGAGGTTTGCGGCTGTTTGGAGGGAAATATAGTCTGAAACCCATAATCCCTTGGGACAAGCAAGAAAGTTTGACCTGATTTTACCACATCGGCACGTGCTAACACCAAGCGGATCGCACAGCACATGGAGAATCGTTTTGTGCAACATGAATGATTTTGGTGCCTGGTGGATCGAATGATTGCTTCTGAAAAGCTTCAGGTTTGTAGTTGGCCTTCATGGCAGAATTTCTTGTTCTATAATGGAGAGCGAAGGGAAAGATGAAACTCCGGGGCAGTCGCATCCCGACGTAGAAGTGGCGAGCAGCTCGGAGAAACCTACTGAAGAAGCTGGTGAGTTGTTTTACACTTGTTCAGTCCAAGACCATGTGGAGTCCCCCTCAAGACCCCCTTACTGTGCATATTATGTACAACATGTGGATTCGACCCTGTTTGCTGTGTACGTGCACAGCTTCGAGTTCCAGTGACGCGAAGGCCAGTGATGCAGCCCAGGTACCTTCGGAACCAGCCTTATCGCATGGCTCTAGGAAATTCTTCCGCGTGAAAATTGTCGGCCCAGGCTCCAACGATATTGTCGAGCATGAGGTATGTTTCATGACACTGTACAGTACACAGTACGCACACGAGTTCTTCATTCAATAGCCCATTTCAGCTACATGTACATAATTATAAAAGTTATGATGGCGACCCTGCATTGCCTGCGGACAGCAGTGTTGACACGTGTATACCAGTCTTGTGTGTACAAGACCACTACAAGTTCTCCAGAAACTCCCTCTTGTCTCTATAATTTATTTCTACTTCATTTGTATTGTATTGTATTGTATTTTATTATTTTACTTGGGCATTCCCAACAGACCCTAAAGTCTTCTTACAGGGTGCCCAAGATGAATGAAATTGTTAGGTTCCTGGCGAAATGAATTCATTTCTACTTTTATGTTCTGTCGACTACATGTCATCTTCCTAAAAGTAGTTATTCGATCGCGATGACGGATTCAATGTAGTGGAGATTCGCATTTGTTGATGCGCAGTGTTTGGAACTCTATTTTACATGGTGCGTGGTGAAACTATCTCAGTCGTTGTAGTCACATGATGCCCAGCGAAATGATCCATGTCGCCATGTTCACATGATGCCCGGCGAAATGGTCCTAGTCGCCATGGTCACACAATGCCTGAAATTTTATTTGGCCGAAATGTGTTTTAGCCCTGGGAGGCTGAAATTTTTCCGTGCCGAAAATTTGTAGACTTGTACCCGGCGGAATGATCCCGGTCGCCATGATCACACAATATCCGGCGAAATGATCCCAGTCGCCATGGTCACACAACACCTGGCGGAATGATCCCAGTCGCCGTGGTCGCACGACACCTGGCGGAATGATCCCAGTCGCCATGGTCACACGGCACCTGGCGGAGTGATCCCAGTCGCCATGGTCACATGATGCCCGGCGGAATGATCCTAGCCGTCGTTTGAGAGGTTCTGCAAAACGAAAATGCGCGCAATGCGTTCACCGCGTACGTGCACTTGGGGTGCGTGCAAACCACGAAATGTCCAGAACACAAAGTTCGTGCGAAATTGCACACATTTTCATAAGGCCCGTCTCGAATCTTCGTGAGCATTTTCGTTTTGCAGAACCTCTCTGTTATCGCATGGTGCACTACACATACATGTACTTTACTCCAGTGGACACATCATTTCTGGCCATGCAGGTTTGCGAATTCCGATTTCAATTCACCAGGTTTTGAAGCTGGCTATTACCGCCTCCCAAGCCTCGAGCAGTTCAAGCAGTTGATTTTCTTTTGCAATACAATACACTTCAGGGGCGCCGGACACGCTATACAATACACTTCAGGGGCGCTGGACACGCTATGGTCACTACGGTATTGACCGTACCACTTTTTGCCCCGGGTACGCCGTGAATCAATCAAAAGCACTGATTTGGACTCTAAATTTTGAAAAATGTTCAGCGGAGCCACCCCTCCCAACAAGTAAAAAAAAAACTGCGCCTGAGATGGCTCACCGTGCCACCCTAGATTACCTTCCGCCGCTCCTGTACTTGTTTGCCATCGTTTGTGTGCCAAATACACAGCCGTGTCCCGCAAGGGAACACCTTGTGATGTGCACTTGGGGGACATACTTTAAAATCCTCTTTTAGAAAGAGTCCGAGAATCTGCGAAGAGTTTGAGATGCGTTCTTGTAAGTTGTATCTTCTCGACGTTTTATGAGATTCTCCACAGCTCTCCAAATTCCGACGAATCTACACCATTCTGGAGACCACTGTAGAACGACTAATTTTTGCTGGTAAACTTTTTAGCTTTTTCTGAATCTGGACGAATCCGTGATGAAATATTACTAGCGATACGAGTTTCAGAGTTAAAAAAAGAAAAGAAAAGGTGACCAGTATTAAATTTTTTAAGTTTCATGAAAAATTTCAATTGGCGCGGCAAAACTTCAGAGAAAATACTTGTTTCTCTAAAATATCACCGGCGCTAAAATAGCCGTTTTACAGTACCGCGAAATGCATGTGTTTCCTGGGACAGCCTAAAAGACCATGTACGGGATCATATCTCACGTCTCTCACGGCCGCGGCCCACTCAGCATTTGCCAATTGAGAGATTATCGAAATTCGTCTTTTTGTTCTTTCGTTTCTTCGTCTTCGAAGAGAAATTCCTCCAAGAACCAGCAGATGACAGGCGCGTACAATTGAGTATGGTATGAACATACACGTAAATTGGTTTGAGTAGTAAAGCTTTTAGTTATCGGACCCGAAACGATGTGGGAGATTCGGATATCGAAGCGTCTTGTGTCATGTTTTTTCTGAAACGATTCAGCAGAGGCTTTCTGCACGCTTGCACGGAAACTGTACGGGTTGTTAAAATACAAATCCGCTTCAGTCCACTTGCGAGGTTGGCACGAATGCGAAGAACTTCAGGCGTTTGCTTGCAGATGGGAACGGTAGCTACTACGGCCCGGCCCGGCCCTGTGTGACAGGTCCATGCAGCTAGCTGTGTGAGCTCTCTGACCCGCGCAGGGCAGGTCCATGCAGCTAACTGTGTGAGTTCTCTGACCCGGGCAGGGCAGGTCCATGCAGCTAGCTGTGTGAGCTCTCTGACCAGGGAGCTTGCACCGTAGCCGGCACTGACCGCTTCAAAACGCTTCACCCGTCGACACAAATAGCCAGTGCACGAGCGTTAACACTCCGCCAAGCAATCTTGTTTTTCAACATCTTTGTTGCATCTGTATTTGTGTACATTTGAATGTCTTGTAGCGTGCACATACTGTATGTATGCATGCCGTATGCTGTAAATTGGCAGCCAGCGATTTTCTTCCGGATGGCGAGGGATCCGGATAAAAGAGGACCGGATAAGCGAGGTCTGACTGTATTTTCATTAGGACAAGATGATGATGTCTATTATACAGTCGTGTGAGAGCATTGTTCTGGAACATTATCTGCATGTGTGCGACCCTATATCTAACTATGGCATTGTGCACATGTGTTCTTTTGTCACTCCTCCCTTTTTCTGTAGATCGAAAGTGGTGTTCGTGGAGTTGAGGTCTTAGAGCTGGTCAGCAATAGCGCTGATCTTGTTACTCGGCCACGCGTGGGTCTCTACATCGACGGTGTCTCTCAGTCCACGCTGGCTGACATCACGCTGTCGTTCAAGCCCAATGAAACCACCACCATTGAAGTGCGACCAGGTGCGTTGATGATGGACGTATGCAGTGTGTGCGTAGTGTAACAGGTCTCTTTGGAAAGTCCATCCATCTCTTAGGGTTCCTAGGTAGGCTAGGGATAGCTCATAGACTGACTGTTGAATGGTCAGGCGAGTCATCTTTCCAAGTTCTGTCTGGTCCTCTCTCCCCTGTAGTCGGGGACCACGTGATGACCAGCTTCTGGTAGTGAGCAAGTGCTTGTCTGTGTGTGTGTGGGGGGGGGGGGGGGGGGTGTGTGTGTGTATGCGTGCATGTGTGGGCGTCCATGCATGTGTATGTGTGCTTATGTGCTTGTGTTTTCATGTGTGCCATCATCCGCATCTCCTTGCATGTGTGTGTGTGGTGTGTGTGTGTGTGTGTGTGTGTGTGTGTGTGTGTGTGTGTGTGTGTGTGTGTGTGTGTGCGTGTGTGTGTGTGTGTGTATATACTGACTCAATCTGGGGACAGAACTGTTTTTTCCTTGTGGAGTCATCAGCGCAGCACAGAGAAAATGAGGCCGAACCTGATAGCAATGAAAAATATAATTTCCTATTTGTGTATACTGTACATGATGTGTTTGCTTTCAGAGCCCTACTCGTACCTGGACGTAGTCAACCATGTGCGTCAGTGCGTTGAAATCATGTTGCCCGATGTGTCACACAATGCCATTCGCGGTGCCGGCATCCTCAAGTCCGTGCTACGCCTGCCTGTTGGAGTGACTCTGGAAGGTAGGCATGGAAATGCCGGTCATGTGACTTGCTGTCAGGTGACTTTGTCTGCATTGCAGCCTTTTTGCAGGTACTTCCAATACCATTCATGAACGGGCCATCCTGCATTATCGATAATTTTCACAGCACGAACAGTTTAGTTTCACCCCCTCCCGCCGAACGGAAATTATATTGACATGACAGCTAGAATGGATTGATGTTTCAGCGATCCATATTTTTCAGACCGAAACTCTCCTCGACCCACCCACCCATAAACAAAAATTTTCGTTTCGTGTAAGAGATCAATAAGTGTGGACTAAGGCAGCACAAGAGTAGCCTAGTACGAGCACTAGAGGTAAAGTACGAAAATTAGTCATGGATGATGTGCGTGCGTGTGTGGGCGCGTGTGTGTGGATGCGCATGCGCGAATGTGTGTGTGCGTGTGTGTGTGTGTGTGTGTGCGTGTGTGTGTGTGTGCTTGTGCTTGTGCTTGTGCTCACTTTGTTCATTTCCTTTGGTTGTGTGTGTGTATGTGTCCCTACAGATCATGCATTGCAAGGCATCATAACCGGCAAAGACATGCTGGGAACACGTCCGGATGGCGACCTGCTGCAAAGCCCCATGTTCACCAACCCTCTGGACCAGTGGACGCCCAACCTCACCATGCTAGAAGATATTTACAAGAAATACGTACGTGCAGTGTGTGTGTGTGCGTGTGTGTGTGTGTGTGTGTGTGTGTGTGTGTGTGCCTGCGTGTCTGTGTTTGCACACTGGCCTGCACTGTCAAGTGCAGTATGGTGATAGTTATCACTGGGAACTGTAGGGTTTGCTCAGTACTATCATCTGGGTTAATGTGCAGTCTGCTCAGTTGGACAAAATCACCCAGGCTGGACTGGAGAGACTTTGAGTCTCTGTGTTCTTACGTTGTTAGTTCTAAAGGTTGAGTCTCCGTGTTCCGACCTTAGTTTTAAAGGTTGTTCATCATCTGTTCTTCATTTCCTGCAATCGTACATGTTACCTGGAGACATTGGGCACCTTTTCAATGAGACTCTCTCTCCCTCTCCCTCTCTCCACTTGATCTCACAGGATGTTCCAAGCTCTGTACAAGACCTCTCGCTCAGCAAGTGGAACCCGCCAACAATGCGTGCCAAGATGCAAGGTATGCCTGCCATCTTGCCGGTGTTGTTTGTCCACACCCGGCTTTCGGGAATGTGGGTCGTTCTGAGGCGCGTAGCTCGTCCCCCTTTTAAGGGGTGCACAGGCGCATATGTGTAGGATGGCCAGTGCATGGTATTCATACTGTAAAACGGAAAGTTTAACGTTTTTTTGTAATTTTGGCATGATAAACGTGCAGAAAGTTTAACGATGTTTGTACTACGGAAAGAACCTGCATCGATGTATGCGCATCTTTCCACAGACATCTCAAACCG